TATATATATATATATACATATCTTAATATATATTACGAGCACTGGAGATACGTGGAAAGCCCGAAACATAATCGCCTTGCGCAGAGAGAAAGCGTAGGCGATGTTAACAACTACATATGGAATCGATTCTACATACCAGAAATCAGACTTTGATCAGAGCGATGTGTTTTTATCAAAAGATGTACAAAGTTGCATGAAAAACAGATTTCTATTATTATATTTTTCTCAATACTTATTGTTAAAATAATTTAAACGCTATTTTGTTATCAAAATGATATTTTGTTAAGAAAAACATTTGTTAATAATATAATGTAAATTCTTTGTATTATTTTATCATCGAAGTAGCAATCTTATATCGCGCATAATAAAAGTAGAAGGCAATAAGAATCTATATAGAACCGGTTCTGATTATATAACAATAAAAACTTTTGACCACAATCTTATAACCAGCATTGATAATTGCTACGCTTTGTATCAAATATAAAAATAAATATACGAGTCTGTGTTCAAAATTTCCAGCTTTATGATCATCAGCAATTCATAGATATATAGTCAAAGATATATATTCTTTCGTAAAATACGATAAATCACGCCTAGCTACATTTGCGACTCGCGTCTGACTTGGCTCGCGCATGCACTACTGACATCCCTATATAATCTCACTTCTCGCATTTACACACGTTACGCACAATAAATCTCTTCAGAAATTCTTACATACGTATTTCTTGCTAACCTAGATTTAATCCAGCTCTGTGTGATCACGATAAATTGTAAATCACATATCGTCTGAATATTCATCAGTGAATATTCACGATCAAGTCATATTCTAGAAATTGATATATTACAAATGCTATTATGTAATAGGGAGTATATCACGAACGTGTTGAGAGAGAGAGAGAGAGACGATTGGGTCAATAGCAACGATAAAAGTCGAAAAATTTCAATCGCGCTAAACATCGAACACTGAACAATCTCAAAACACACTGAATTCTAATAAAAGCTAATTCGTTAATGTTTTTCGGCAATTATTAAAAAATGGGATAACTTAATATTCGTCCCATTATTATAAAATATATTTTAACACCGCGTTTTCCTTGTGTTCTCCTTGCAAAACTCTATAGAACTTTTAAAATTCTACGAAATTCTTCAATTATATAGTTTTCTAGTCCATCGTTATCCATCGGCATACGTCAATAGGACTTGCGCAAAAAATATAAATCATTCCTCTCGGCATTGTCTCCTCAACTTCACTCTAATCTTCCATTAATACATGCAGGACAAACTATCGCATCAACACGATTCTCGACACTATCATATATCGATAAAAGTTTTTCACTTACGTCGACACTAGCGACAAGTGTTGACAGTCTTCTTGACAAGACACGTATTGCATGTGACCTCGCAACACCACCGGAACCTACACTGACAATTGACCTTCTCCTTGACGATTCTAGTGTCGTAGCCTCTACCGCAGCAAAGGAGTTCACAGCCTTCGACCCCGGGACTAGTCGAATTACATTGACGACTTGTCGTCCCTAAGGAGCCAGTCTTCCTATTCGGCTTGCAGAAATCTGGCGAATCTTCGCTGTAGATCAAGTCGAATCTACCAGGCGGCTTAATCGTGGGACCTTCAGTAATGAAACTATGGCCATCGTTGCTGGGAATGACTTTGGCCGCGCCGTCAAAGGATTCCTTCAGGCGGTTGCCAACTTCCCGAAACGGTGGCATCTTGCGCCAACAAGTGCGAACTGTACAGGAGCCAGACAGCCCATGGCATTTGCATTCGGTCCTCATGAAGTTGCGTACAGCCTGAGGAGCGAATGTACATAGCACGTCGGGAACATATATATACATATTTTATCTCTCTAACAAAGGCTGACTATTTTTAAATTCTAATAATATATGATATATAAAAATCAAACCCAAATATATTAAAGACTCAATAATTAAACGAAGTATTGGCTATAAGATCCTCGTTAAAGTAAAGCCTATTAACTATATAATGATATTAAAATATATCTTTTAATTTTTTGTTAAAATAATATTTGCTAGAGTCTTGAAAATAAACATTATCAAGAACAATAAAATTGGAAGATAATTAATTCGGATTTAAAATGCAAAATGCAAAATTTTTCGAAGATTATAAATAATAGAACGTGGTTCTTCCATTGGACAATTGTGCGCAAGATTAATTACAAAATTGATTTTTAATTATCACGTATATGATGAAAAAATGACAATAAAAGCAATTAAATAAAAGCGCATGCATGTATAAAAAATTAGAAGTACGTATGGAGAATAAATATAAAAATAACTTACCAGACGACCGGCATCGTTATTATGAAGCTTTACTAACGTTTTAATATCGCTTCTTTTACGATATGGTGCATCCATGAATTCCCGGGATTTTTTAAAACCAAAGTTTACGTTATCGCCACATCCTCCCCATTCCCAGTCTCCTTCCGTCGGCAAACTTTTCTTCGCTTCGACCGTACGAGCAAATTTAGCCAGACGATTACCTGCGGAAATTGTAATTTTTTCCTCTTTTTAAAATATTAATCGTGAGGAAAATGATATAATTCAGAATTTTTGACGTTTAAAATTATAAAGAAAAAGTTTATTGATATTTCTACTTCAATTTTAAAGAATTTACGAAAGAACTTACGCTAGCGTTACGATTTTTCTCAAAGTAGATATAAATGTACCTTTTAATTTATGTAAAAAAGTAATAATAATTTCAATATTAATGGATTTTTAAAAGCCTATAAATTACTTTAAATTCCAATGAGAAATTAATGGGAAATCGATATGCGAATTAAATCACAAAGAAAGACTGAAAGAGTAAGCTTTTACCCTTCGACGTCATCTTATCGCAGGAACATTCCACGAGGTCACCCATAGTGCAGGCTCTGGTAACCGCATAAGTAACTCCAGCGGCGGTGATGGCGTTCACGAAACCTGTCTCTCGCGTATCTGCAGGCACATGGAGGGGAATCCAAGATCAATTAATGGACTATTACCGTGGTAGCGTGGTCCGCAACGTAAATCACCGATCGCGAAACAAGAAGAGGCGCGCCCGGCGCGTATATGTGCGCGGTAAGCGAGTGGTAATAAAAAAATCAGCAAGAATCTTCCTGGTCGTAGAGAGTCTCAAACGAAGGAGGATGTCGGAAGATAACGTCGGCAAGGGTTAGGCGAGGAAAGTTGAAGAAGGTCGCGCGCAATCAGATTGCCCGAGAAACAAATCGGATTACGCGTCAGCCGGCGAATAAGACAATTTAGAATCTTCTTACATATGTGCGTGCCGGACTCTTGGAATACATTAATTAATGATATCGTTTTAAATAACATCTGCCAAAAATACTTGACTCGATAAAAAAATTTCGTAACAATTTTCTGATAAAATTTATCGCTTCTTTACAATTTTCATAATATAATATACACCTGAATTTTTATATAAAAAATATATATATTTGCAATAATATTTTTATTTAATTGTTATGCGTTTATTTCCTAATACATGCAGTATGAAATAAGTATAAATAAGTGAATGGTGTATAATCTAAATTATTACTTCCCGATTAGACTTCGGTTTTAGAAACTTTTAGTGATATCTTAATAAACACACCTTGTAGAGAGATTGAATAATCTAGGCCACTTAATTTGTGAAGGCAGATCTGTAATTACAACAGTATTCAATCGCGAACAAGCTATGTAGATCGAAAACCGCCAATTCATATAGTTGCTAGATCTTTGTACATCGTTATCTGAGTGTCAAATATAGAATGAACTAGCGATAGAAGGTATAATTTGATATCAGATACAGTGCATATAATTACTTATATAGCAACGTCTATAGGAAGTCAGTATGTGTCAATTAATCGATATAATGATACACGATTATCGCTTTTTATTTTTTTTCTGGTTATAAGAAATTATTCGTAATTGCGAACATTTACATATTTCAATAATGTCGATTTCACCAGATTTCGAATGATTACGTAAACAATTAAAAAAATCATCTAGTTCTAAAGTCGAAATTGTTTAGTTTTACATATATTGATTAAAAGCACACTACAATAATATTATACTGGTTAAAAAACATAGTATAATAATTTTAATACATATATATTAAACTATATCTTTTTTATTTA